GGGGATGGGAATGAAGGCACAAGAAAACGTACGTTTGTGTGATGCCGGTGTGTGCGGCTTACCAACGGTTGGCTCGTCAGCACTCAGTGACATCCTGGCCCACAACATGAAATGAAGTTGCTTTAGCACATGCTTAATCTCCTCCGCCTTCTCCTCCACAGTAAGTTCCGCAGGAGGACGCTTGTGTAGAGGCTATTGAGAGGGCTTTTGCGAAGGAAACTTCACTGAAACTAGCACCGGGGTCGTTGGCACAGTCGTCATCACCCAGCCTTCACCGTATCAAATGTTTTGCTCCCGAAGCCTCCTTGGAGCTTCCAGTGGGACTGCTCGTCCCCGCACTGGTCTGGGCGGCAGTGATGACTGCTATGATGACGCTGCCTGCCGTGCTCTTCTCAGTGCCTGCCGTCCATGAGGCAACCAGGCCACGCCAGTAAATAGGGGCGGGTTGAGGGGAGTGCGGGGAGAAAGGGAGTGTGGGGGGAAATGGGAGTGTGGGGGAGAGACGGGAGTGTTTGAGAAAGGAGTGGCATGAGTGAGGTGAGGAGAGGAAGTGAAGAAAGGGAGTGAGGGGGTTGAACTTGAATCGAAGAGGCCGCACCCACAGCCGAGTTGAGGCAATAAGTAAACGGATGAGAGGTATTGGTTGGGACTGAGGCTCGCCGGAGTGGGCAGGTGAAGTTCAGGAGTCTTAGGAGTCTCTTTTTGTGGGTGTTTGTGATGCTGGGAGGGTTAAGTTGAATTTGATGTGCATGTTCTCGTTGGGAATCATTACCATAATTACCATACTTTTCCAGACGATTGCAAATTGGTTTGGTAGCTAGTCAGTGAAGGCTCCATCAAGGTCACAAGTGACAGACAACATTACTACAGGTGGAAAAGAAATCAAACTCTACAGCATGCAAGTGAGAAATGCCCTGGAGTACTGACCGCAAGACCTTGCTAGAATACCAGCCTTGAAACCGGGAGTGGTTGTGGATGACAATAACCCTACAGACGGATGACAAGAGGGTAGTATGAACTGGGGTGTATAGCCCTGTGTTCACTGTCAGTGGGTCAGTAGAGCAGAGAAGGTTTGAAGACTGCCGCTGAGATCAAGGCTGGCAAAGGCATCATCTCATCGCTGCAGCTGGCAGTGCAGCAGGCCGCTAAGAGGGGAGCGGCAGAGAGGACAGCTGTTATTCTGCTGACGGTGCTGTGCCATGCAGTCACCACAAAACTGGAAGTGCACTGAAGAGGTACGCGATTGGCAGGAAAGGGAAATTGCGCCAGGGGGGTGTCAAGGACAAAGTGACAGGGGGAAAGGCGAAGAAATTACGGCGGGATACTCGCAGCACTCAAAGGCAATAGAAAGAAGGCTGTACAATGCAAAAGGTGGTGGTGGGTGCGAGGCGCTTACTGCATGGGAGAAGCAGCACATTTCGTTCCTGCAGGCAAGACGAGCCAAACAAAGAAAACAAGTGGTGGGGTATTGTTATATAGGTGGTCACAATCGTCACTACCATAACATGGTATGAACGATATCAGCAGCGTATTCGCATATGAAACAAAAAATACATTGTGAAATAGCTCCCAAACCTGTAGGTCATCAGCAACGCACATGCCAGGTGCGAGCTCATGGCTCTTGCATCGATGAAACGCATTTCATGCGTGCAGGGAGACAAGAATATACAAGTCATGCAATATCACGAATGGTGCAGCACATACAGCAACCAGGCTGAGCAGACCATAGGTGAGAAAGGCCTACCTTGGTGTAGCAGATGCGGCAAGTGCTGCGATCCCTCTCTGCTTCCTGCCACAGTGATGGCAGGCAGATGGGAAAACAATGGGTGCGGTCACGCGCAGTGCACCATAGCATGTCATGCTAAAACAACAAAGTCCCAGAATGATTACGCGAGGGTTGAACGGAAATGCACCAGTGTTGGTTGCACCAACACAGACGAATCAGGAAAAAATGGATACCTCTACATCAGGGAAGGAGCAAGGACACAAAAAGAAAGAACAGAGAGAGATAAAACCCTGAACGAGCTGGCACTATGAAACATGAAGAGGAAAAGGAAAAAAGTCGAGGTACAAACAAGAGCAGCAACCAGCATCGAGCAACAACACCCAGCCCAGGGGGGCGTCAATATGGCACCCACCAGCAGAGCCGCAACGGCAGCATGTTGGCTCCTCTCCTCGCCAAGCTCCCTCTCCAGCCGCCCACACCGCTGTTGCCTCACCTCCGCCTCCTGCCTCGCCCTCTGCGCTGATGCTAGCTCTCTGCGCGCTGCATGCCTGGCAAGTATGGTAGGGACAGGAGAGAGGAAAGGGGAAGGACGGAAGTGGGGGTGGGGGAATGGAAGGGAAGGGAGTTTAGGATGATGTGATAAAGAATGAATGGCAGTAAATATGGGCGACAGCGGAGAGGAATGATTGTTTGAATGGCAGGTAATATGAATCGTCGTGTTTATGGATGGGAGGAGTACAGCATTGTGCTTTCAACAATCGACATGAAACTGTCACCTCCTTAATCTAACCTGCCACTCTCATTGTAATGGTGATGTGCTGACACCAATCCCACCCGCTTCACTCACCTCACCACACACTCGTTCAATGACAAAAAACACTACTCCCACCCACCACACAATCTCTCACAGACAAGCACACACAGACTCTCACCCAACACCCGCTCTCCCACAGAAACACACGCACGCACTGTCTCGTCTCACCACTCTCTCTGGATGACGGAGTGTATGGACGTATCCACCACACGCAGTAGCCGCTCAGTCCCATGCCACACACACGCACACATGCACGCACGCATGTACCCATGCGCGCATTGCCTCCTCTCACCGCTCTCTCTGGATGACGGAGTGCATCGACGTGTCCACCACACGCAGCAGCCGCTCAGTCGCATGGCGCAGCACCACCAGCTCCCGGTAGCTCGCCTGCTCTGCACGCTGCTCGTCCACCAGCAGGAAAGCGCTGCAGCAGCAAGTCGACAGTGGTGGTGTGGAGAAGTACAAAAATAAGAGATTGACGGATGGATGGGTGGTGTGGTGCCGAACAGTAATTCCTTTCCAATGCATCTTGTCCTTTGCTCAGGAGTCAACCAAACATATGCTTACCTTCCTACCTTCCCAATCAGGGATCCATCCTTGGTAAACAAAAGATAACGTTCTCTCACTTCTCATGCGGCTTGTGTAGTGCCTCTTAAGTTTCTCCTTACCTCCCCATCCTGCTTGCATTCTCCTTATTCAACAACACCTCGTTCCTCATGCGACTCACAATATTCTCTTCTCACCCACCCTGCACTGTCCCCATCTCACCCGTTCTGCACAGTGCGCATGAAGTCGAGGTTCTTCTCATATGGACGGTACAGCTCCTCCAGAGCCCGCCTCGCTGCCACCTCCTCAAACCCGAAGTGTTCCTCCGCCTCCATGCAGAGGCGGTCCTGTGCGCAGGCGATTTGCAGACAATATTAATACCAACTTATAACTACGACATCGCAGGCCAAACAGGCAGCTTCCAGTGCCAACCCGTAGCCGAATTTATGTCGTTGTTCTGCATTTGAGAACACACTTGCACCAAATGAGGGATCTTGCCCCATACCTGAAGCTGAGCTTCGTTCCACTTTCTCAACTCTTCCTCTTGGTTAAACGTCTGAATTCAAATATTAGAGAGCGAGAAAAGAAAACGGAAATGTGAACAGGAAGAATGAGGAAGAGGAGGAAACCAGGAACTTGGAATGATGTTCAAGGTTGAAGGCACGAAACACGCAAAAAAAAAGAGAAGCAATAAAGGCCCGCCAAAGAAAAACGTCAAATCATGTTGAACAAACGAACGCTATTAAATTGGACGTACAAGCTGCTTGGCCAAGGAACGCAATATCTCACGACAATCACAAATGCATGGACGACAGCGAGAAGAAGAAGAAAATTACCATACTTCCTTGTAATTTCCTGTGGTTTCTCCGCTCTCCGTCCTTCCAAGGCAGGATATCCTTCAATGCATATTTCAGCACAAGATATTGTGTAAATATTGATAATGGCCGAGTATTAAGGAAGTCTAACCTCTACTTCTTCGGTTACTTCTATCGGCGGTGGACCGTTCGCGAGATTCATAATCTCGATGGCCTCAATCTCCTCCTCCATCTCCAGAAACGCCTCTTCTTGCTGCGTCGCTGGTCGCATGGCTAACGGCAACGATGAGCAATACGTAACTGAAGAACGGTGGCTCCAGACAGATCACATCAACTCAAAAAGCGATCGTACTGGACCAATGTGTAGCTACTTTCGTCCTGAATCACCACGCCCTTGTACTAATCAATAACCTGCACTTAAAGCCCCTCCTTCTCAACGCTCCGAGCTGCATTGATGTAGCATTGGTTCAGGCGACACTAACTGCTAGTCAGGAAGTTAGCTGATGCAGTGGGCTAGACTACAGTATAGCTGTCCTGACTCCTGTGCTTGACGGCAGAGGCTTCTGCTGTGGACCGGCTTGGCAAAAGCTGGGCTGGGAGGGAAGCATGAGTGATTGGCCGCTTCCCATGCTGCTGTCAGGTTTCCGAATTGGCGTCAACTGGACGATATTCTCGTTTTAAAACCCGAAGCCTGAATTACAAAAACTGAGTCAACGCTCAGGTCCTTTGGTTCGGGGGGAGCACAATATGAGGTTCGGGTGGGTTCGTGACACTTGTGGATGGCGAAACCACTTTGCGAACATACGAGTGTCGCAGCACAATATTTGGGCGACGGGAACCAACACAATAAGTCAGAAGGGCATGTGACCCAAACCAGTGCTGAAAACCGCTCGACACAATTAGTAACTAACCTACCCACGTGAGTATAGGGTTTCCTAACGTCCTGCGAACGGACGGGTAACGAAACCAGTAGCTGCACTGCGCGTACAGTCTTACATTAGGCAGGGTGCGACAACGCAATTGAGAGGACCAAAGGCGCGGATTGTAGCGGTGCTGCTCGTACAGATACGGACGACTGCAGTGAAATAAACCGCACAATATGAAGCTTCCCCTTCCCGTCGCCCGCTTTTCCCCTACCCGTCGCCACGATTTCGACCCCCCCCGACGCCCGCCCTTCGCCCGCATTTCCCCTTCCCTTCGCCCGCTATTCCCCTTCTCGTCGCCCGCTCCCGTCGCCCCTTTTTCCCCTTCCCGTCGCCCGCTTTTCCCCTTCCCGTCGCCCGCTTTAGCCCTTCCCGTCTCCCGCTATTCCCCTTCCCGTCGCCCCCTTGCCGTCGCCTGCTTTTCCCCTTCCCTTCGCCCACTTCACTCCTTCCCGTCACCTTCCTTTCCCCTTCCTGGTATCCGCTCCCTGTCGCCATCACATACCCTTTCCAACCCGCACATACACCCTTCTCTTTCCAGAATAATCGCCATTCACCCCCACACTGCTTGCCTGTCTCCCTCTTCCCCCCATCAATTGCCAGGCTCCTCACCGTCCCCCCCCCAGCTCTCTACCCGGCATCTCCCCCGCTCCCCACGTCCTCTTCCCTGCCTCCCCCCATTCCCTTCCCTGCTTCCCCCCGTCCCCTTCCCTCCTTCCCCCCATTCCCTTCCCTGCTTGCCCCCGTCCCCTTCCCTCCTTCCCCCCGTCCCCTTCCCATCATCCCCCCATCCTCTTCCCTGCTTCCCCCCGTCCCCTTCCCTGCTTCCCCCCATCCCCTTCCCTGCTTTCCCCCGTTCCCTTCCCTCCTTCCCTCCTGCCGGCCCGCCACCTCACCTGACGGCCCCGCCGCTGCTCCTGCCGGCCCGCCGCTGCTCCTGCCGGCCCGCCGCTGCACCTGCCGGCTCGCCGCTGCACCCAGCGGCCCGCCGCTTCACCTGACAGCCCCGCCGCTCCACCTGCCGGCCCGCCGCTGCACCCTACGGCCCGCCGCTGCACCCTACGGCCCGCCGCCTGCACCTGCCGGCCCGCCGCTGCACCTGCCGGCCCGCCGCTGCACCTGCCGGCCCGCCGCTGCGCCTGCCGGCCCGCCACTGCACCGGTCGACCCGCCGCTGCACCTCACGCCCCCCCCCCTGCATCTCCCGGCCGAGCCGCCCCAACAGCCGAACCGTCCGGGAGCCGAGCCGCCCAACGCCGAGCCGCCCGGGAGCCGAGCCGCCCTGCACCCGAGCCGCCCAGCCGCCGAGCCGTCCGGGAGCCGAGCCGCCCTGCGCCCCAGCCGCCCAGCCACCGAGCCGCCCGGGAGCCGAGCCGCTGTGCACCCGAGCCGCCCGGTCGCTGAGCCGCCTTTCTGCAGAGCTGCACGACCTGCCCTGCCTGGTGAGCACAGTCCCACTGACACTGCGAGCTCTTTCCCTACTGCTTGCACTGCGTCGCTGTCGTCGCCATGGCTACCCCTAGTGTCCTAGCTTTCGACGCTGAGGGTCGCGCCATTGATTTTGAGGTCTGGTTAGACGACCTGCAGCTGTTCTTACAGTGCGACAGGGCTGACGACCTTTCTCTCTTCGACCTCACCTCTGGCGCCTCTCCTGCTCTTGCTGCTGATGCTGATCCCACTGTCCGCTCTAAGTGGGCCACCCGCGATGCTGCTGCACGTCTTGCTGTGCGTCGCCACCTCCCTACCTCTGAGCGTGCGCACTTTAGTCAGTACAAGAGTGCTCAGACCTTGTACGACGCTGTAGTTGCGCGCTACTCCTCCCCTGCCACTGCTGCACTGAGCCGTCTCATGCTTCCCTACCTCTTTCCTGACCTCTCTGCCTTTCCCACTGTCGCTGACCTCATTACGCACCTCCGCACTAGTGACACTCGCTACCGCGCCGCCCTTCCTGCTGAGTTCTGCGCTAAGAACCCCCCCCCCATGTACATCGCTCTCTACTACGTAGTCGCGCGCCTCCCTGACTCCCTTCGCGTCGTCAGGGACCACTTTCTCGCAGTCTGTCCCACCACCCTCACCGTCGACCTCCTCGAGAAGGCCCTCCTCGCAGCGGAGAAGAGCATAGTCGCTGTAGGTGCTTCTCTTGGTGACCCTCGCACCCCCATCTTTGAGGGGTGCTCTCCTTCCCCCTTGCTGCCCTCTGTTGCCTCTACTGCTGCTGCCGACCTGCTTGGTCTTGAGTCGGTCAGCGCGGCGTCTGCCCCTAGTGGGAGACGTCGCTCCAGCAAAGGCAAGGGGGGCAAGGGCGCGGGTGGAGCTGGAGGGGGCGGTGGCGGTGGCGGCGGTGGCGGCGGAGGGAGTGGGGGTGGCGGCGGGACTAGTGGCGGGGGTGGTGGTGGTGGTGGCAGCAGCGGCGGAGACGGTGGTGGTGGTGCCAGCGGTGGTGGTGGAGGCAGCGGCGGAGGTGGAGGCGGTGGAGGCAGCAGCGGAGGAGGCGGTGGTGGTGGAGGAGGTGGAGCTGGTCGAGGTGGTACCCAGCAGCGTAGCGGCGGTGGTGGTGGCCAGCGCTCGCAGCGGCAGCAGCAGCAGCGCTCGCGGGACATCCCTCCGCCTCAGCAGCTTCGTGAGTGGTACGCTGGGCGTCAGAGGGGTGGGGGTACTGGTCCCTGCACCTACGTTCTTCGTTCCGGCGACCGCGCGGGTGAGCAGTGTGGGGGTGCCCACGCCACCCAGCGCTGCTTTGGCTGCCTGACGGACGCTTGGCGTTAGCAGTTCCCTGGGGCTAGTGAGATCCCTCGCTGGGATGAGCTTCTCAGGGCTGGTGTAGCGATCTTTGATCTTGATTTTGATGCTATCCTTGCTGCTATGTATGTTGTGGATTATAGTGAGGAGAATGAGGGTTACCGTTGTTTCCAGCCCGACCCGGGCATTGGTACTGCTGCGCTAGGTGCTTGTGAGGCTGCTGCTCTAGGTGCCAGTGCGTCTGTGCTCTCAGGTACTGGTGAGACTGCGCTCTCAGGTACTGCGTCGTCCTCGTCCTCCCTCACTTTCACACTTGACTCTGGAACTTCTCGCTCCTTCTTTCGAGACCGCACTACCCTTACGCCGCTCGGCCGGCCGGTTGCGGTCTCCCTTGCTGACCCCTCTTGGGGTCCTGTCCTGTCTCACTTCTCCACTGTCCTCCCGTGTCCGGCTGCCCCTTCGGGCACCCTGTCGGGTCTGTACCTTCCCTCGTTCTCTACGAACTTGGTGAGTGGAGCGGACCTGCAGGATGTGGGGGTTCACCAGTTCACTCCTGCGAGTCAGCGGGTGACCCACTGCACGGAGGCACGCACAGGCCGACACCTGGCCACGTTCTCGCGTCGGCCGGGGTCGAGTCTCTACACCCTGACCGTTGAGTCTCCTCCTGTCCCTGCGTCTGGTTAGGTGGCTGCGTCGGGTCAGGTGCTTGCTGCTGCGTCCCGGTCAGGTCCTGAGTCTGCCCCCTGTTCTTGTCGCCTCCTGTCTCACGAGACTCTCCTGTGGCACCACCGTCTTGGCCACCCCTCCTTGCCCCGTCTTCGGAGCATGGCTTCCCGTGTCCTTGTCTCTGGTCTTCCCCAGTCTCTCCCTCCTCTCCCCTCCGGGCCAGGACCTTCCTGTGTCCCCTGTGTCGAGGGTCGCCTCCGGGCTACTCCTCACTCCTCCCACTTCCCCCCGACAGAGGCTCCCCTGCAGACGCTTCACATGGATGTGTGGGGCCCAGCCCCCGTCCGTGGGCAGGGTTACGAGCGCTACTTCCTGTTGGTGGTTGACGACTACTCGCGTTACACCACAGTCCTCCCCTTGCGCAGCAAGGGTGCGGTCACTGAGGTGCTGATCGACTGGATCCGCGAGGCTCGTCTCCAGCTCAGGAAGAGCTTCGGCTCGGACTTTCCTGTTCTGCGTCTGCACTCGGACAGAGGCGGAGAGTTCTCTTCTCGCCTTTTGCGGGACTACTGTCGTGCACGGGGGATCCGCCAGACCTTCACGCTTCCGGACTCACCACAGCAAAATGGGATTGCTGAGCGCCGCATTGGCATGGTCATGGATGTCGCTCGTACGTCCATGATGCATGCGGCTGCCCCCCATTTTCTGTGGCCGTTTGCGGTGAGGTACGCGGCGCATCAGCTCAACCTTCACCCCCGGGTCTCTCGGCCTGCGATGTCCCCAGCCTTGCTGTGGACGGGGAAGGTTGGCGATGCGTCTGTGTTCCGGGTCTGGGGATCTCGGGCGTTTGTCCGCGACTTGTCTGCGGACAAGCTGTCCCCTCGTGCTGCTCCCTGTGTCTTCCTTGGCTTCCCCCCTGACGCCCCCGGGTGGCAGTTTTACCACCCCTCCTCTCGTCGTGTTCTGTCCTCCCAGGACGTCACGTTCGACGAGTCCGTCCCCTTCTACCGTCTCTTCCCCTACCGCACTCCTTCCCTCCTCCCTCCCCCGGACTTCCTTGTGCCGGTTCCCCCCCCGGTAGACCCCCTCCCCCCTCAGGTTCCTGCCCCCTCAGGTGTGTCCCAGGTAGACGCCGTTGACTCGGTCGAGGTTAGTGGTGACTCTGGTGCTGCTGCGGGTGCTGAGCCTGGGGGTGCTGACTCTGGGGGTGCTGTGCGCGGGGGTGCTGAGCCTGGGGGTGCTACTGCTGGGGGTGCTGGGCCTGAGGGTGCTACTGCGGAGGGTGCGGAGCCTGGGGGTGCTGAGCCGGGTGGTGCTTTGCCTGGAGGTGCTGGGTCTGGGGGTGCTGAGCTGGGAGCTGGTGAGCCTGGGGGTGCTGCGTCTGGAGCTGCTGAGCCTGGGGTTTCTCCTGCTGCTGCATCTCGCCAGGAGCCCCTCTCTCCACAGGAGCTGCGCGAGTGGTTCGCTCGCCGCTGGAGGCGTGCTGCTGAGTCTGGAGGTGCTGCTGGAGCTGGAGCTGGAGCTTCTTCGACCGTCGAGGGTGCGGGTACTGCCGGTCCCGGAGTTGCTGGACCTGCGGGTCCTCCTGGAGCTGGAGCTGCTGAGGGTGTTGGTGCTGAGTCTACTGCTGTTGGTCCTGCCGCTGGAGGTGTGGGTGGCGCTGGTGCTGTCGCTGAGGGTGCTGGTGCTGTCCCTGCTGAGTCTGGAGCTGCCGCGCGGCCTCAACTGTACTCCGTTCCGCTCCTGCAGCAGGTTCTTGGTCTTTCTCCTCCAGTAGAGGGTCCACCGCGTGTCCAGTCGCAGTCCCTGCTGGAGCCTTCCTCTCCACTGCCTGCTCCCTCTCCTTACACTGGTCCTACTGGAGGTCTTGCTGAGCGTTGTGAGCCTGCGTCTCGTCCCGCGTCGCCTGTTCGTGCTGCTCGCGCTAGTGGTCGCAGTTCGCGTCAGCGTCCTCCTCCTGTCCCTGGCACGCACCGGATGTCTCTGCGTCCGTCCATTGCTCCTCTGCGTGCCCCTTTGCCTTCTCCTCCTGAGTCCTCTCTTCCTGCGCTTGCCGACCCTGAGTCGGACTCTCTTCGCGCTGCCAGTCCTACTGTCACGCGTCTGCTTGCTACTGTCGTCACTGACCCCTCTTTTGAGTCCACTGCTGTGTGTGCTCTAGTCGCTGAGCTCGTTGACTTTGCTGCTCGCTGTCGTCTCGACTACGTTGCTAGTCTTGTTGCTGAGTCTGCGTCTGTCTGTCCTCCGTCCGTCGGGGGTGAGTGTGCTCTTGGCACGGACGTCCTAGAGGACAGGCAGGAGGAGTTACAGTGTCTAGCGGCTGCTTCACCTCATCTCGCGTCTGTACTGCTTGCCCCTGAGGGAGACCCGGATGCATTAGACATCCCGACTCCGCGTTCTTACGCGGAGGCCGTAGAGGGTCCCTACTCCTCTCAGTGGCAGGCAGCTATGGATGCAGAGATGGCTTCCTGGAAGTCCACAGGCACCTACGTTGAC